AGTCCGGGAACTTTCCGGACAAACTGTGTATATACACATCGGGACAATATACCTCGCTAGGTCTAGATCTTTACGTATTTCGCGCAATTTATATTGTTTAATTCTGCTATATTACACAATAACTAGAACTCGACGTGATAATTCGAGACGGAATTTTGTAAAAATTTTATCAGACTTTAATAAAGTTTAACATATGTAAATTTATCTCTAGATTATTTTTACGTAAATATATCTCTCGATTTATAATAAGACGTGAAAAGGAGGAGATATTCACTCACCGATACATTACGCGCTCCTGATGATCGGCCTCCCGGTAGATCTTGTAGTACATCGCGATCATGATTATCCCCGGCACCCAGAAGCTGACGCTGGAACTGATTACGGCGTACAACTTGTTCACTTGGAACACACACACATCCGGATAGTTCTTCCTATATTCCAGATGTTCCTTCGTGGTGTACCAGCCGGCGAAGATCGGCAGGAAGCTCATAACTATCGGCGAACACCACACGATGCTCAGCATGATTCCCAATCTCACGTTCGTCATGATCGAGTGGTAGTCCAGCGGCTGAACGATAGCGTAATATCGGTCCACGCTGATGCAGCAAAGATGGAGAATGCTGACGGTGCTGAAGAAAACATCCAGGGAGTTCCACACGTCGCACATAAAGTAGCCAAATAGCCAGCGTCCGGAAAGTTCCACGGAGGCGTTAAACGTCATCGCGAACAAAGCTACCAGCATATCCGCGAGCGCCAGCGACATCACGAAATAGTTCGTGATCACTTGGAGCTTGCGATGCCGCATAACCGAGACGATGACCAGCAGGTTGCCGAAGAGCGCGCAGATGATGATAAATCCCATGATGAAAGCCTTGATGGTTAAAAAGAGGATGAACTCGATCTCGTGGTGATCCGTGCTTGTGTTCCGTTGATCGATGTTGAAAAGAAAGTATTTCGATGAGTTCGTCAGGTTATCCAGGTCTTCCATCTGCGTCTCGTTGAATCCCATCTTGAAGACCTGGATTTTTCCCTCGATTCTCTCCCCTCGATTGCTAAATGCTTTTTTTTTTTCACATAAATACATGACACTTATATAAGACGTAAATAAAAAACTCAAGTATTTTTGTTTTCTATAAGCGCTCTAGTGTTATTTCAAACGTTTACTATATAATTATCGGCGAAATCAGTGTAATTAGATATGCATATTCCAACTGCGAGCGCGTAACTCGCTAACATTAAATGACCATTGATTATTACCGCGCGATATTATGCCCGCGCGTCCATCGAAATTAGATTTGAATAAGGCTCGGGAGATGCATACAAATAACGAGTCGTTCGAAACTATAATCAAAGTTTCGAACGGTACACAACGCCAGTAATAGGAACAACAAACACGAATGAACACGTCGCGCGAATATCGTTTCGGAAGATGTGATTAAACGTTCCGTTTTAAAACGCGAGATGTGGAATTTCGAATTTTACGACACTTCGCGCAATTATAACTTGCGAAAATTTAATTATCGTCGCTAGCGACACGCGCGCAATACGAGTATTAACACACGCGTGGACAAATGTATGCGCGGACAACAAATTATGTACTTGGAAAAAAAAAAAAAAAAAAACAACGCGTGTGTAATAAATAAATTTTATTTTTTCTCTTCTATAAAGCCGTAAAGCCGTCCTTGCGTAATTATAGCGGGCCGCACGCGTATATATGCAGAGGCGCGACGCGTGAATAATTTTTCTCACGTGAGAAAAGTCGCTTGACTTGACTATCGGTTCGAATAAGAATTTTTTTTTTCCCGGAACACGAAAGCTGTGTAACATAATTGTCAGCATGGAATAATTACGCAAATCACGGTCATTTGAATGCAATTTGCTCGCTCGGCTGTAGTTCTCTTTTTTTTTTTTTTTTTCAAAAATTACATCCTCGACGTAACTAAAATACATAGCGTATGAGAATGGTTACGTGTGTGTGTGTGTGTGTGTGTGCGTGACTCTTCGAAATAATAAAATAAAAATATTTTTAAACGGCAAACAAGTGACCGAGAGAGTAAGAATTGATGATCTCGAAGGCGAATGAATAACACGTACGTATATAGTTGGAAATGCGAGACACGAAAAGAAAATAAACGTATAGCCACGTCGGCGTTGCAAAGTCGACTCGCTTCACTTCATGTCCGATCAAGCGTGTGAATATTCCACTCCCTAACGGCGCCTATATAAAAAAAAAAAATCTGTTATCCGTTATTATTTCTACAATGAAATACGCGCGAAATGTGTTCGAAACGCGGGAAACGATTATGAAACTCGTACAACTTGTCAAATACACACGTGAAAGCGCACATTGTGCTACTGAATAGTGATCTTTGAATTGGAAAAGCGTTGTAACGCAAGCGTAGCGCACAGTCTTTGCAACGTCTTTGATACGATATTGAATAAATATCGGACAGCTCGAAGAATAATGTAGCATAACGTTGTAGAGCGCGCGGGATGAAAATGTAATTCGATGAGATGTAAAATTCACAACTCCATTCAAGTTACATACGCGCCGGGGTTATGCGCGTATATTTAATAATTGCATTCGTTCTGAGGGAGAAAAGTTGGTTTTCAAATCAAATAAATATATTTTCTTTTATATTTTTTGGCTTTTTTGATGAAAGAAATTATTTATTTTATTTATAAATAAAAGTAATTCAATATTAACAACAAAAAGCTTAAGCTCGTGTTCAGCTAGCAGATAGTTTTACAGATCCGCTACTATATGCTGCATGCAAATATAATTTTTAAAACGTGCAAATTAATACGCATACGAAATTCGAATTGATTTTAATTCAAAAATATATCTAATATGCCTCATTTACATTTCGATGTATGTAAGTCTTATCCATTTTATGCTCAACTAAAAATTTCACATGTCATTAATAATTAAAAATTTAATTTACTTTAATTATAAATAAATATGCAATATATATAACATTGAGTACATCATTTTATGTCCATACATTTTTTACGTTTAAATATTGTTTTCATAAAATATACATATTCTTTATTAATTAAAACATATTGGGTTTTTAGACTAAAAAATTCAAGTTTTTTTTACCTAAAAAAATGCATTCTAATAAATATTTGATGAAATATTAAAAGACAAAATATAAATTAAAATATAAAAACAGTTGTTTAAAAATTACATATATTCTTGTAAGCATGTAAATGCTGAAATTAAGAAAAGAAGACGTTTTAAATACAAGTAAGTAAATACGTCGTTGCACCAACAGCACCAATCGAATAAAATAAAGTTTCTCGAATAAATATTTTTGTTTCAAGGTAAAGTTTTTTCTCAATATAAAAAGAGATTGAAAGAAACTTCTGGACGGAGGAAAATGGTTAAAAAACAAATCTATTTAAAATCGTTAGATAATTGATCTATTTCCGTGTACAGAAACCGGATCGAAAACAGCATTGTCTTAAAAATAGAAAAAAAGATCATCCTGTTTAAATGTTTAAATATCGGTAGCTAAACTTTGTCCATTACGTAATGACGAAAATATGTGCGACAAAAGCGGAACGAAATAAATTAATTTTAATAGGCTAAAATTTTCTTCGTGATACCTGTCGCGCGCACATTACTATCGTTGCGTTTCATCTACGCGTATCAATCGATTTTCGATGTGGCTGACATATAAATGTTGACAGATACCACCACCTTGAAAGTCATTATTGCCCATATAGCTATTTTCATGATTATGTTTCAGTTGCTCTGAGTAAACAGCTTTAGTTTCATGCCGATAATTTATACCGTGCGGAACTTATTTTCTCTGTATATCTAGACATGCCATCTTTTGATGTGCGCGATTATCTGTCCGCTAAATGCGGGACAGAATTTTATATATAGCGACTCCGCATATAATTACATAGAAATGAGCGTGAGATTGCGCAAATCGAAAAACAGATAATTAGAATATTATAATTAGTTAGCTCCCCGCAGAGATAAAGTTTGGAATTGTATTAACTGTTAATTTGGCATAATATTATAAATAGGATTATTTTCTTTCAAATCAAAACGTTTGTCTCAGTCAATGTTTGATTCAGTCGCAGTGCGTATATTTACAATTCAAACCAACGTTACTCAGTCACAGAAAAATAAAAAAATAAATAAATAAATAAAAAACATCAAAGGATCAACAAATTTCCGTAATTAAATCGTAACAGGTGGAAATGAGGAAGTGAAGTGAATTGATATATTATATTTGTCACGAAATAATTTCATACAAAGCTGCAAAACGTGCGGCCAAACTGCGTACGGAATTTGAGGGGATTATTCGGCTTTTCGAATTTTCGTGAAATTACAACGTCCCATGTGGGTGTCGAGAAGCATCGATGACGCTTTTCTATGATCTGGCTGACGCTTTACGTACGATGCATCCCTTCGAACGCTTGTATACTTTTAAAGTAAACATCGAACTAAACGCAATAACGGGAGCGAGATTTCAAAGCCTTTTTTTTTGCCACACAAAGGAAGAAATAAAACGAAATTACCGATACATTTTGATGCCAGCCCTTTTATCGAATACCATGTTGTTGAAATGTCAAACTTTATACGTTAAGTCATAAATTCACGTTACGTCTCATCGTGACGCCCGCGTTCGGGAATATAAAATATAAAAATGAATTATTATTGTTGGGCAACGTGGTTGATATTAAACGTGACATCTGTTAGATTCAGCAATATGCGAACGCGGCCTTCACGGAGGGGGGCTAGACATTTTTTCAATTTTCGGTGCAGGACAACTGTTTTTTTTTCTGTTTCTTTTTTTTTTTTTTTTAATTTTAATCAACTCACATCAACATCGTGATATCGAGGAACAATAGGTTGAAATTAGACCACCATCATTGATCTCTTCAACAGAGGAACATCCATCCCTGGGATTCAGCACGTTGGTCTAGCACACGGCATTATTTTTGTGAACGAAGAAGTGTCACTTTTATTTTTTTATTTTTCTCATAGCGAATAATAAAACACGTACGTGTGTGTATCAGAATTTCCCCGCCGTCATATTCGTAGATATTTTCTGGATTCACACGAAATGTCTGTATGTGTGTGAGAGATAAAATACGCGGATACGCGCAATACCCGACGTGTAGCTCACACGGCTCGCGAGCCCGCAGTGAACTGTGGGTGGTTGCTTCGTAGGCTTTCCCGCTTTCCGCCGCGCCACCCTGTCTGTACCTTTCACCCTCGTCCTCACTCCCCCATCACATCGGACGACGGAGCTACTTCCTCCCCTTCAGTCGAGAATCCCTCCACCGGCTCTGCCACCCTCTCTCACTTCTCTCCCCGCCTCGAAGTGAGTCTTTACGTTCATTCCCTTACTTTCAGACCACTATCGGAAGAGAAAATGCTTTCTTACCCTGGTCCGTTGCCGTTCGCGTTCTCCGCCGTCCCGCAAGGTTGAAAACAAATTTAATTAGCGAAAAATGAAGGTACAGAAATCTGGAACTGGAGAGGTCAGCTAAATGTTACAATACCAATATTATTATTTTATTTAACGCCTCTGCGAATTAATTGGTAAAAACTAATTACATAATATTTAATATATACCATAATAATAATTGTAACGCTAATACAATTTCATTGTTAAAAGACAAAGTTGTTCCACACAATAGAAAGCTATAATTTTATAAAAGTGTGATAAAATTATAGCGCTTTTTTGTGTAATAAAAAAATCTAACTTTTAAATATTTTTACAAATTAGAATTTTAAAGTTGTAAATTGCATTGTTTCAATTTCTCGAAATCAACAAAAACAAACTCAATTATTCAAGTAAACATTGTTTATCACTGTGCGATTTATTGAATGGTCTATAAATGTTTTAAACTCAAAGCTTAGTGGCTCAATAGCTTAAACGCAGTAAAGCGATCGAAAACTACATTAAAATTGACAATTTATCACATCGAAGAACATAAATTTGTGTTATAACAAAAGTGTGGTAGAACTCTAACGAAAAAACTTAATACAAGAATTAACGCAAAATTATATAAATTAGTTTTGTGTTAAAACAAAATATATTTATTTTTATTACTATTATTCAATTTAACAAACAATGTGTTCTGTGTGTGTCAAGATATATATATATATATATATATATATACATATACGATAAGAAAGATGCATACATTAATACATAAGTGCAATAAAGACTGGAAAAAATCGATAATAAAGGTCAAGTCATTACGTAGGATCTCACGAGCATCTCTTTAAATCACATATTTTATGTCTCTCTAGGATTATTTGTTTTGTTGCTATTCGTTTCGAAAACGTCTGTTGGCAGGCCTTTTGCTGTCTGGTGATTTCCGCATTTGGGAAGAAGCATATGTCACACACCGTTCTGTGTGTGTTTCGCAAACCTTTCACATATCTGTAGGCGGTATATGTAGGAATCCCGTTTAAAGTTCGTTCTCAGTCGATAACTAAATATGCGCTTGCGTATGTGTGCTGAGAGAAACCGGCCCGGAAAATCTATGATAGCGGAATCGTCGGGATTCGAACTGGGATTCCAAATTCCAAAGACTGCGAGACTCGTGACCGAGACCGCAGAACCGCTGGGCCGGTCCGCTTATGAAGCATTAAGAATCTACAGAATATCGGAATAAACATGTGTATCTTGTCGCTGAAATTATTGTGGGAATGTAATCGCTCGCATGTAAATTGCGGCCAATGTTGTGACCTCATAAATAATAAGCAGCGACGACGAAGTGGTTATCCTTGTCACGTTTTTCATGCAAGAAAGTTATTAATAAGTGTTATTTGCGAACTGTTATAATTGACTTTTTACGAGAGATCGTAAATCGTTTAATCACTTGTTGAAGCAATAATACATGCAATGTACGAAACGGAGCTGGCTACAATAAACAAATTTCGAAAGATAAGGAAGGGATAACTACGGGTTCTCGACTTTTTTTTTCTCTAAAATGTTTTCTTTTTTTATTAAAAATTCTAATATTTACAAAAGAGTATAAATTAAAATGTGATCATTCGACTTAGCACCGTTGCCCTTACCATCTACAGATAATATTGCGTTAATTAGACGATTTTATTGCAAAATCCTCTCGCACGCAAATTATATATATTCTGTGTGTATAATCATTGTCATGTAATCAACAAAAAAAAAAATACTTTTTAAAATTGTATTTATATTTTTTGTTACACATATAAATAACTATATATATATGGGTTTCTTTAATTCTATAGTAATTACTTTACGCAAACGCGAACAATTTCCCGTGACTCTTCGGATAAAAAAAAAAAAATCATTTAATAATCGAGCGTAATGTGTTTACACAGAATATTTCATAAAAATTAAACATCGTGCTATATTTATAAAGCATCATCAACGTTTAGGATAGAATTTGCGCGAAAAAAATATTTCGAACTTTTATCGAACTGAAGTACTTTTATATCGAAAAATAAAATAATGAAAAATCGCTTAATTATTATAGAGTCACAAAATTTCAAGCAGCCCAATCGGTGTTATTAGTTAGATAAGACCGCTAAGTAGCAAGCCTTTGACGAGCTGACAAAATGAGAAAGAAAAAAGACAACCAAAAGTAACTTCATTTATTTTAAACTTTTTTTTTTATCGCATATTATTTACGAGTTTTAATCGGAAAAGAAAATTATATGACACTTACTGCAAGAGAAAAATAAGCTTCGAAAAAGAAAATCCGACGTTCAACTTTCTAATTTCGTCATTAATTTTTCCCGACGACAATAAAAGCGCCTAATTACTCGCTAGTCCTGACCGATGGTTGTCTTGTGCCGAAACTGGGTTCCAGAGGCACCAGAAAAGTGACTTTCTCGCTCGCGCTGGCGCCGTCCTGTTTCGGAACAGAGACATTCTTCCTGATGGGTTTTTGCGGCCGCTGAACGGTCTTCTCGTACGCGATGTATTCCGGTCTGAAAACCGGTCGTTGCTTCTTTGCCAATTGATAATCGGCGGAAGTGTTCTCCGGCACGTAAGTCGGCTGGGTCGGTTTAACCGGTTGCGATATCGGCGTGACGCTGTAACCGGCGTTGATCAGAGCGGACAGCTCTTCCTGCGTCAGAGTCTGTTGATGCTTAGGCGAGGGAATTCGCACAACCTGAGGAACGTTCAACTGATCTTGCTCGATGACCTCTTCGATGGTGATGGATTTGACAGGAGACTTCTTCAGGAGACCCGATTGAGTGACGTACACAGAAGATTCGGTCGGCCGCGCTTTCAGCTTGTGCGCTTGACGCGGTTGAGTGATAACTGGCTGAATGTAAGCTTGTTCCTGCGAATCATCGGATTCGTCCGGCTTGGTCACAGTTCGGGGAGCGTACGTGGAACCGGAAGCCTGATATTTGTTCACGTCGTCGTTGGTGAAGTAACTGTTGGGTGGCGGGAGCTTAGGATTGTTGGGCAGGAGGTACTGAATGACTGGGGTGCCGTCAGGATTCGCTTTCTTGGCTTCAGCTTGAGCTCTGGCAACCGCCAGGATCTCGCTGTTGGCCTTGGCGCGCGACTGCTGATACACCTTGTACAGAGCCTCGGCCTGCGCCTGCGCGAGCGCCTGAGCCTGAGCTTGAGCGCGCAGCTGATTCCTCTCGAAGTTCAGAGCGTCGTGATGAGCCTTCTCCTGCGCTCTCACATGGGCTTGCTGTTGAGCCTCGACCTGACGTATAGCTTCGGCGTGAGCCTTTTGCTCGGCCTCCGCCTGGATTCTTCTGGCCTCGGCGGCCTCGGCGGCCGCTTGCGCCTTCAACTTCGCTCTGTAAGCGGCCTCCGGATCTTTCGGCTCCAGCCGACCCTCGTTATGCGCCTGTCCGGCCTGGCTCACGGTTTCCCCCTGCTGAATTTGTTCCAGAGCGCTCTGCTGTCTGTATCGCTCGTGATCAATTCTAATCTGCTCCAGAGCTGCGTTGTGGTGCTTCTGATACGACTCCTGGGCGATCTTCTGGAAGGCCAGAGCCTGCGCCTCCGCCTGAGCCTGTGCCCTCGCGTTCGCTTCGACATCAGCATGAGCCTGTGCCGGATCCACGTAACTGTCGTACTGCGGGGACGGTCTGAAGGGTTGAACGTTCTTTGCTTGCGAGTAATCTGCCTGCGGTGTCTGATACTGAACCTGGACCGGTTGCTCGACCGACTGATACGTCGCCGCGATTCGCTGCTGCGGCGGATAGCGCGGGGGTGGACTGGTCTCGATGTGGTACTGTTCGGGTAACTGCGGAGCAGCCGTCGGTTTGACGTAACTTGGCTGCGAATAGCCCTTGGCCTGTGTTGTCGGAATCAAATTGAACTCCTGAGCTTGATTGGCGGACACCAGTTGCAACAACTCTTGCTCGAAGTTGTTCAGTTTCGGTGAAGAACTGTAGGATTCCACTTGATACGTGGACGCTCCGGACTGGCCGCGCGCCTGAATCGGCGCGACTATTTCCTGGGCGTACGCCTGCGGGTGTATTTGCTGCGGTCTCGGTCTGGGCGGTGCCACAGCGGGTTTACGGTAATTGTAATACGCCTGCTGCAATTCCTGTTGCTGTTTGGCGTAACCCGGAAGCGGCCTGCGCTGAGGCGCATTGCTCGGAGAGTACGCCTGCGGTTCGGTATTGGTAAATTGTCGCAAGACGGCCAAGTATTCCGGCGAAAGCTGAAATTCGAGTAGTTCTTGTGTCAACGATACGTTCGTCTTAATCAAACAGTAACAAGATCGGAAGAAGTAACAATTATCAAGTGTAGTGTATTTTATCAGTACATTTTTTATATATAATTTTAAACCACTTATTTGGGTTTACAGAAGATTCCCCTTTCGATTCGTTGTTCTTTTTTTTTTTTTTCTGTCGTGATGACGAGATTGATTGTGCAAACAACAATTGACGGGGAAAAAGTTCCGATAAATCGCCGAAGGTTACTGGTCTTATTAACAAGCTTGTTACCGCGGCGAATATTAGTCAATAGAAATCGTAAAGAAGTGAGGGTCGCGAAAATGAGTCATCATCTCGCGTTGTAACGGTCGCGCAAGGCCGCGGGAAAAGTAAGGTAATAATCGTACGACATTTGATAAAACACGGGAGCTTTGCAGTCGGGTGGGTGTGGTTCTACCGGTTTCTATCAGGTCGGAGTGATTAGAAGGTGTGCAAACTTACCAGTTATGCAAGCGAGAGATTGCATTCGAGTACGGCGCTGCCGAGCAATCACGAGCGAACGCGTAGGAGGCATTTGAAGACATAGATCGCGTATACGTCGGAATATGGATCCGCCGGTACGTTGATTTTTTTTTTTTTTTTTTTTAGATCGACGTGAAAAATTTATTTAAAAAATAAAGTAAAGATATGAAAAATAAAACACAAAATGGCAACAATATGGCATAAAATAATTTTCTTGTGAAAAAACAAATTTAATTGTTTTCTGCTTTGTATTAATTTACAAGTAATAATGATTTGCAGAAAAGTTTCCGTAAAACTATCTACAAATATATGCGCATCATTTATAGAAGTAAACATAAAAGAAAGTGAAAAGAAATGAATAATTATATTATTCCTCTCGATATATTTTTCGAGCTCGTAAAAGCGTGCGAAAATTAATTTCGTTTGTGATACATAAGACACAAAAGTGAAAGAAAGAAACATCCGGCATTTCGCGGCTTTTGTGCGGCACACGGAACCATACAATCTCTCGTTATTCTCGAAGTGCAAGTGAAGGTGAACTAGAAATCCTCGTGCAAGCAACGAAAGTAATAGAGTCTCGAGCCGCTATCACGTTGCGCCACGTTCTACTTCAGAACGTTTAGATCTTGAAAGCGGATCTAGGCGTCCCTCTTGTGGGGCCGCGCCATTCGTTTCCAATACCGTGAAAAAATGGACCGTTAGTCAGACCGTGTTAGTGGGTGATAGGCGGTCAATAGTTATGGTTGACCGACGACAAAACGATGCCGAACGTTCGACGGGGAGAACATTCGGCGTTCAGCATTCCGCGGCACGATTAATCTCTATCTCTCTCTCTTTCTCTCTTTTTCCCCCTTCCTTCCTCTCTCCCTCTCCCTCTCTCTCTCTCTCTCTCTCTGTTTCTCTCTTACAACGCCGAGATAATTTAACATAATGCGTACTCTTGTATAATTTCATACCTCTTGAGAGTCATCGCCGTGTCGAATGACAAATTGACTGGTTTGAGGTCCGTAAACGCCGCCACTCGAGATCGGCGATCTCTTGACGGGATCCTTGATATCGAACTCTAATAAGACGATATCGTCGGCGGTGGCCGGTGACGATTTTTTGGCAGCGATCTCCTCGCCAGAGGAGATTGCCAGAAGACCTGCAAAAATCCCAAAATAAAAAAAAACTATTGTAACAATTAATCTTTTCATTTTTATATGTGCAGAGAGAGGAAAAAAAACACGTTAAAAAAATTTCGTCAGCCGACGAAAGTTAAAATTATATTCGAAACGTTCCGGATCATTTTTGTGAAATTTATCGCAAATACACCTTGCAAAATATTTGGCTCGTATTTGTCGAGAATTAGTTATTTCAATTGTTAAAAAAAAAACTTGTATTCTTCTCTTTGCGTAAAAATTTTACGAACCTACAATTTTCAAACTTGACACGTTGTCACATACAGCCTTGTGCGTGTACGTGAATGTTATAAATTATTAATATTTTATTTTAGTTATATTTTATTAATCGAATAATTTAAAACTGTGAAGGTCTCTCACATATTGTCCAATCGAATCATGAAACGCGCTCACAACTGCGCTGAGAAAGCAATGCAGATAGAGAAAGTTACAAGAGCAACGTGCAGTCGAGAAACTTTTCCCACGGATTTTACTTTCAATATTTTTCAGACGTCTCTTCCCGCCGCGATAAAAAAAAAAAAAAGAGGATAAAATTCCACGCAAACTAAGCACACGAACTTGATTGCCAACGAACTGAAACGCAGGATATTGTAATGTGACTGGGCGTCTTTTTGAAGGCTAATTACACGACGAACGATGAATTTCTTTGGTGATTTAACAAGTGGAAAGTATGCGCGCAAGTCCGGTCAGCTTTCTTTCCTTTGTTAATCCGTGAGACACCGCGGATATGAGTAATTTTTTTCCTGCGTTGAGTAATACTACATGTGTGCGTCCTTAGGTGGAAGCCGCGATTAAGTAACATCCTTTATTTCACGTATACGCGCGTATGATTAACAAATCCTACCTAATTAACGCCTCGCGAGTTTTGCGCGTCTTCGATGCGTGCCACGAAAAATGTTGTATTTTTAGCGCAAGATCGTAATTTTGATTTATTCTTCGCGTAAAACACATTTGCGATTCTCTTTTCACATTTACATATCAAAAACCATCAAAGAAAATATTAAGTAAGATAATAACCGTTCGCAAAATATTAAATAAATATTAAATAAAATATTAAATAATCGTTCTCGTGTTTCTTTCAAAAATATGCTCTTTCGAAATGTTTTTGCGTTTCTTTGTTTTCCGTCCGAATTCTGTCTCTCTGAAATCCATTGCAAATTAGGGTTAATCCGTTCGAGCCGTCAAATTAAAGCTTAATCATGTAATCGGGACAATGTGCAAATGATTCGTGGCATCGACCCTTCACTCTCGACTACTCTTTCTCATGCAATCTGATAGGGATCAAGATTCATTAGAAACATTCAATTGCGTTTCAGCCTGAAAAATGCTTCTAACAATGTCCGGAGAAACTTGCCCTTTATAACTTGATACTTTGAAATAAAAGAACCAATGAAACCAGAGAGAACAATAATGTAAGATAGATAAAAATTTTTTTTTCTACAACACAAATATCCTAGTTATGTTGTTAAAATTAAATATTCAAAATATTTTACACTATCCGTTTTACCTTTATTTATTTATGCAATGAGAAAACAAATGTTAATAAATATAAATACAAATAAAATTGTAATATATAATATATAATTAACATAATATAACAAATAATATATAATAAAATAAAACGTGTACAAAAGTACAAAGTTTACATTGCGTAACAATTAATTATAGCGATTTTTAGCTGCATTATGCGTGAGCCCGAACGAATAAACAGGTTATTTTTATCCGTCTGATATTTCTGCTTTGGCAATACGCGCGACATTAAACCAGTATTACTGTGACATACTGTTTTACTGGCAGTTTTCACTTTTCAATCCTGCGTCGATTTGTGCGCGAACTTCCGCTTTAACCACAAGCGATCGTATCCATTCACTCTTGCTTTCTCGAGCGGTGCATATGCGAGCGCGGCAATACATTGCAAACTTTTTGCATTCTCGGTATCTCTTTTATACAAAAATTCGTAACGTAGCACTATAAAAAGATGGCAACACACAAAAATTTTACTATAATAATAACTCGATCGCGCAAAACGAAACGCGCTCATCCATAAAATTGCACACATACATGTCGCGGAAAAATATCAAAGAGATTACTGCCGCCCCAGGTAACTTCCTGAATATATCATCAACGTATGATAATGGAAATTATAAGCTACTAATTTATATGCAATTTAGATGTAAATCATAAAACAGAGATGATATTAACGTATGTATGATATAGAGTATTTATATACACACTTTTACGTTATTTAGATTAAAAATGTGTGTGAACTGCTACACGCGCGACGGTTGCTTTTATCGAGAACGATGCAAAACTTTCTTCTCTCATTTTTCTCGCCCGTGTATTATAAAAATCTCTGAAATACTTCTTTCTTTGTTTTTTGTTTGGTTTTCAACCCCGTTCTCTCGCAAAATAAACTTCACCAAAAATTCAAACGTCAGATCTCTGTCCTCTTCGCACAAAACACACCTGTCGTTTATTAAGAAGCACACGCGTATGAAATACGCATCGTCGCACGTACACACTTCGCAGCGTGCTTTTCACAGAGAAAATACGTCGATCGAAGGAAAAAAAATTTTTTTTTAACAGCGCCGCAAGCGATTTTACACCGTGAAGTTTGTTTTTTGTTTTTGTTTTTTTTTTGTTTTTTTTTTTGTAGTTTTGATTTTTTTTCCTCTATCTTGCGCGATGTGTCGCACTCACCTGCGAAAATAAGCAGCAACATGACGGGAGTAAACGGAATAACGGGAGTATAGCGAGCGAATGTTCAGTGGAAGTGGATTGCTAGTCGCTTTATAGACCGAAAGGGAAAGGCCGCGCCCCGAACTAGGTGAGATTGTTCTATCTGCTTTTCCGCGATACTCGTGTGTCGCGTATTCAGGGAGTATACGCGCGTATATATCTCCGATTATGTACGCAGATTTGGATTCCCTCTTTTCTCTTCTTATCTCGAATTTTCTTTTTCGCTTGTGCCCCACACACGCACGCATATATATGAAAAATTTTACACACACAAATATGTATTGATAATGTGTACATGGGGGACGTATGTGTAATGCGCGTTATTACGCACCAGTTGCTTTAAGGACACAAAAATGAGAGAAACGACAAGTACTCGCTCGACAAAAACGCCAATAAACGCGATAAAAAACATTCTATTCAGCCTGCTCGCGTCAGGCTAGATATAGTAATTTTTTTTTACATGTCTCTATAAGTGCGCGCGCGAGCGCGCGCATCTTCTTCGGAAAATCTCTCCTCTGTGTGTCCGCAATTGTTTTCGCATCTCTCCCGTCAACAACAAAGCGATGTGTTCTCACAACGCGCCGTGTATAAATTTACATTGTATAAGTCAAAGTCCGGGGGGGGAGGGGAGGGGGCGCAAATATACACGTGCGCCCGCTCGAGCTAGTGTGACTAACAATAAGTACACACGATGTAATGCTTTGCTCACTACGAACTACCGTGGGAAAAGCGGTCGGAAAGAGATTTTTTTGCGCGCTTCGGGTTTTATACACACCGCGTCTCCGCGCGTCTCGTATAAACACAGTGTATACATCGCACGCATTACTAATGCGTTGGTCATTTGACAAACGTATTGATAGGTAATAATAATAATAATGTAATTATTGCTTTCGCGTCGCTTATTTTACTAGTCTATATGAGATAGATTTTCAATCTTCTTTCAATAACGCGTGTGTTTAGAAAGCATATCATTATCGTCCCACTTATAATCATAAATCAATTTAATTCTTTCAAATAAAAAGTAGTATAGAAGTTTATTTTCTTGAATTTTAAAAAATATCACACACACACACACACACGCACACACACGGGGAGTTGGAACAATTCTGTGCGCCGATGAATAATGATATACTCTCGTTCTCATATAATATGTATATGTACACGCGCGTATATATCGTTATAATTTATCTTATTTTCGCGAGACAATGCTATCGGTTAACCACCACCTCAAGGTTGCAAACGCATTAAAATGGATTGTGCCAGTGTGATGCAAGATCGCGCAAGACTTTTCTCATCACTTGACCGCCCGAGTGCGCGCGTAAACTCACCTTTTCTCGGACTCCTCGTGCCGAGACAATCACGTGATCTATTTTTCCAAAACAATAAAGCCTCCGTTTTTGCACGAAGCAAATGCGAGTCGTAAAAAAACACACACACGCGCACACATATTCTAACGATATGTGGTATAACTAATCTATCCGCGTCACGCGCGATGGTTAATCAATCGCGTTTCGAAGTTGCAAAAAGCGGAGAAAGAAAACTAATTAACACGTCAAAAAGAATATATCGCAGAGTAAGTGCGTAAGCCGGTCGGGGAATAAGAGTGACACGACGATTTTTTTTCTTCTGTTACGTAAAAAAAAAAAAAAAAGAAAAAAAAATAACTATTGTAATTAATGGAATTAATGCGCGAAACGCGTTGCGCAAGCTTGTTTAAAATAATGGAAGCGACGCGACGTGGAAACGCGCGTGTTGAAGAAAAAAAAAAAGTCAGGTTTAAAGAAATATTAAGGAAACGAATGACATTCTTAAGAAGGAAAGTTTAGCGCTCTAGAAATCAAGTTGCGATGCGTAACGAAGTATTTTACGTCACGTAACATCATTTCATGTCGGTGCGTTTTATTGTTCGTGAAAAGACAAAAGGCGCTTTGCATGATCCTATTTCCATAACAATTATACAGCCGTAAACTTCACGAAACTTGTTACAGTTGTAAGACGGCACCATTGTTTCGATCTTCCATTTACATCAATATATTGTGTGTAATATAAATTTTACACGTTTCATTTAATTAAATATAAATTTTATTTAATCCTAAATTTTCTTCTATAAAGCTACGAGTCTTTATTGTGTCCAGCATCTTTTGAAACACTCTTCAAAAATCACTTGAAAGCATTTTGTCGTGTAATATTTATTGATAAAATAAAACTACTGTACTTTTTGAAACAAGAGGAATCCGCTGGCAATGTTTTCTCGATTCGCACGCGTCGTTGCGATAGTAGTATTTTTTTTTTTTTTTTTTTTTTTATGAAGCATA